TATTTATTACTCTCTACATCCTTGTTTGTATTACATTGACTACAAATTCGTGTATTTCATGTGTAATATTTAAATGTAAGTGCGAATAAAATATACTTAACGTATAATATTAGTATTTAATAGAAATTGAAGTGTTGCTTTTCCTCTTAAAATGAATCAAATAAATAAACTTAAAAAAGAATCAGAAAATACGGTGTAATTTCAAGCAAGACTAGTAATATTTTATACAGTACAAAAACAAATTCATTTTTTTAATATATAAATTCACGTTGCATTTCATAATGCTATGCAACATAAACTAATTATATTTTTATTAGTAATTTGAGACCGTAAAATATACAAACCAATATGCCACTAATACACTGGTAATTTAAATTAACGCAAATTTACAACAGTTTTACCTGGCACTTTGTGAAAAATGCGTAAGTTTCGCAACAATTTTTATTATTTTACATGGAAATAATATAAAAAATCTTATTATGCTTTTGATTATTCCAATGAAACGTAAGATGTCAAGGAACAAAACATATTAGAACGAAATATTTATTCGTTAATAGCATTAACACGTTTTAAAAAAACTAAATCTTTTATTAATCGAGCCCTTAATTTGTCAAATATTATCGGTTAAGCTTCTGACATCTAGGCATCGTGTGAGTAAACATGAAAAGAGAACGTAGTTAAACCTTCTTTTGTTTCATTGCGCTACACGCAATATTTTATATTATGGTCCTCTAATTAAAGTCCTATTAACACGGACTGTTACAAAAACATCAACTTATAATTTAAAAATAAATACCCTTTGCACTTCATACATATCAATCATTAGTTAAAATCATCACGTAAATAACTTCATTATTATTTTATTCATCCATGACTGACTACAAAATTTACGTTACATTTTATTGTTAAAGGTAATTGTTTATTATGATTAAGGCATAAATGTCGAGGCGAGCACTAAAACGCTTTATTGTTTATTTAATATTATTAATTTCATATTATCCTTATTCTATTCATAAGACTCCGTCTAAATATGACATTCTTGGTACAGTAACATGTTTTTAATATACTTATTAATACTTATGTATACTAAGTCATACAGGTATGTTCATATTTGTTTTATTTACAGAGAAAGAACCATCGTGTGTTTACAGATAAATATATTATGTAATTGATCCTGAAAAATAACAAGTTCTAGTTTCAATTTACAAACAATATTTTTACAAATAGGGCACTTCAGCAATATGAAAAGAATATTATACTGATTTATTGAATTCACAATTGGTGGTTTCTGAGTTATGTTATGTTGTAATTTATGAATAATTCATAGAATTATATAAAATTCTTGTGTATCATGGATGCTGATTGGTTTTATTGTTCCCAGAAGGCGGATAATACTATAATCTATGTGCAATATAAAGTACATTGGTCAAATAGTCTATCCAAGTTGCCAATGATGAGTTTACTTATTTTTCTCCTTACACAATATTTTAGGGGTAAATTGATTAAAAGATATTAGTAACGCAGAAGCAGCGGCCACGGATAAAGAACTTTTATGAAATGGTGTATAACTACGAGTTTTTTAGTCCGTAGGGTACAATTGCGTGGATGGATTTGAGGATAGTCTAACGTTAAAACTTATTAAATATAGTGTAATAACATTTTAAAATAAAAAAAATGCTATTAAATACTATAGTGCTGGTCTTGTTGAGTACTCTTTTGTTTACTGCCAGAAAATAAATAAATTATTTCTTCATAACAAGGTTGTCAAGAATAAGCAGACGTAAAAATATAAAATCATTCGTTAGTTAAGAGTAAAACATCGTCGTAAACAGACACATAGTGTGTGTAAAGTCTGTTACTGTACAATCTATCTATACTCAATATTCTCTGTAAGCTATATTCTGTTCTTTCTATTGCCTTCTTTTTTTTGCTTATCTTTAAAATAATAATAATATATACTAAAACATTCTACCACATATTCAGCCATCTAGTCCCAAAATAAGCAGAGCTTGTACTATGGGTACTAGATCAGTTGACTAGTATAGTATAAATACATATATACTTTTTTAATACATAAATATTACACATAAAAACACCCAGACCAAATCAAACATTAAATGTTCATGCACACAAATGTTTGGCGTAGCAGTCCGTTACACAAACCACTACGCCATCCGGCCGTCAATAATCTAAAAAAAACCGTTTTAATTCGCGTAGCACCAGGTTGTCTTTGGAATGTAGGTATGCAGTTGGGGTGGAATAAAATCACAATCACCTCTTAGAAAAACCATATGATTTATAAATGGGAAAAACCGTGAAGGGGTAGCCCTTCACGGTTTTTCCCACCCCTACCCCTAAAACGTCGGCAATCAATGTCGCCTTTATTATATATTTTTTTACATTTGACCATTTCCAACAAACAATTTCTATGCAAAAAGTACGATACATTATACGGACCTATGAAATGGTCACTATTGCATTATAGTGATCTTTGGTAATCCTTGACACATATTATGATATTATAAATGCGGGGCGATTTATCTTTATCCATCCATGATATATTAGTCAAAACGACATGAAAAGACGCTATACCGGTCACGTTCACGAATTATTTGTCACATAAAGAAGAAGTTCATAGTATCACGGCTACGGTACTTCCCAAGAAATGTGTGGACTATTATTCCGCTGAATTGTCACCCTCTGGTGACTGAAAAGAGAGGCCTGGCGTATCGTACAGTAAACGGGAGCAAACTACGCAGAACAACAGCACTGCAAAGAGAAAGAAAACTTGACACAAAACCTATATCAACCCGTCTGTCCAGCGTGGTATAGTAGACCAAAAGCTCGTTTCTGAGGAGAGGCCTATGTCCAGCAGTGGACTATTAAGAACAATGAACGAAATACCCTACAATACAGAAATTTAAAAATGAAATGATGATGAATGATGACTAGTTATGAAACTATTTTAAAAGACACAGGTCATGGTGTTTAAACTTCAAACTTAATAACAGTATAAGTTTTTTCACCCAGTGGAAAACCACAGCTAAGTATTTCTAACCTACATTAGCTTACCATTATTAAAACATATAATGTACTTTAATTGAAAACTGTCATTGAAGGTACTTTCGTAGTAAAATAGTAAAGTACATAATTATTATTGAGACTAGCAGATTACCGATTCAATTTTCGGTAACAATACGATATAATCACATCATAGTCAACGTTGGATTTTTAATACTTTACTACGAAAATACCATTTATGACAGTTGTGAGATCGAAAGTTGATCGGAACTGAATTGAGACCGAACTTTTATTACGGGAATTGGCCTTCTGTGACTTTGATGTTACGAATGTGTGTAGTATTATAAATTACTAGCTTTTCTAGGATGATTTATTGGATGAAAAACTACTAGAGTCCTGTGACTATCTCTATACCAAATTTCATCTAAATCGGTTTAGGGGTTTAAGCGTGAAGAGGGAACTGACAGGCAGACAGACACACTTTCGCATTTATAATATTACTCGTAGTATGGATGATCAAGCGATTGTTGGTTATTTATGTTAAGTAGTCGGCAAGATTTAGGTTTATAAATAAGTTGTACATGACAGATTCTTAACTGCTATTTATTTATTGAAACTTCTCAGTGTCACGATGCCTTTCTTTCGTCTTACCCTATTCTAGTGACAATTACTTTTTACTTTACAGCTTAAAACGTTGTCACACTGTGTGTATGTTCAGTCTTACATGAATTGTAAGAAATTTATTTCAATACATTGAAAACTTACAGCTATAAACATTGGTAAAATTAAACAGAATTATTATTTCTAGTTTCAGACTAACAGAAATTATTGTAAGCAAAAATTATTACTCCAAAGTTGACTAAATTATAGACTTAAAATATATTTTCAAAATAACAATTGCAAATAAAGGCGCGCTCTGCTTTAATGCGTCTAATCAAAATTACACCAAGAATGTCAACCCTTCATATAGTAGTCCGTCTCTTTTTAATTTCATTGCCTCTATCATTTCTACCTTAGAAATGATTTCCTGCTGCAGTTATTCTTTAGTAGCTTTACAATTCAACTGAGCTGTGACGGCGTCTTTTTATATTCCAACTCTTTCATCGCGACGTCATGCTGCTAACTAGCTCAAATCTTAATCTACAATGTTACCACGCTCATATGAAGGATATTCAATTCCAGATAAGTTTTTATGACGTTGTCAACTGAAACTTAATTATTTAAATTAACAAACCGTAGCCGAAAACGATTGTTATACGAGAAATGTATGTGCATGTGAATAACTTAAGAGAAATAGAAAGATCCAGGCAAACCTTGATTTTAAACATTCCAAGTACACTGGCATTGACCCAACTCCCTTAATTTTAACAAAATTAGCTTTTAGAGAATTGGTCTTTAAACGTATCCCACATTTTGCTATCAAACGATTCACGCTTGCGAATAGCAATGTGAAGTTTTAAGTCCAGTAAACAATTCGAAAACAATACAATGGAATTAAAAAAAACAATGAAATCGATAAGTATAAAATTTCATGATAAATCCATTGTTTCAAATTGTAATGCTATGGGATAATTTTTATGGAATGTGTGTTAATGCTTTTTTGGAAGGCCATGCTTCGTACTTTTTGTGGATTACGCATTTATTTAATTTGTAGAGTAAGTCTAATCCTATATAGACTAATCCTATTTATCTCGCTTAGGTGCGTGAAAAAAAGTCGTTACGTTTTTAAATAAAATCATAGTTTTTTTTTTATTTATTTATCTGTAACTTAAACTACGTATAGGCTTCAAAAATCGTGATGAAAATAAATGTGCTGCTTATATTGGTTTCTAGGACTACTGTCGTGATACACTCTAGAAGTACCTAACTTATTTCAGTAACCCTTTATGTACCCAATTCTAGCGGTGTTGTTCTCAGAGGTTAGAGAGAGTAAATTGTAATTTTATCACCGGACACCTCTTCAGCTTGTCTTGCAGTCATTATAACTTGGTGTCCCTCAGCATGACTGCGGCTTCGTATGATGGTAGATCACTGTCGCATCGTTCTCCATCATTACATGTCAGACAAGGCTGGGTTACAGTATCCTGAAAATAACAACATTTTGTGTATTAGCTATCAGTTTACGAAATTGTTTTTTACTTACTGGTCTACACCGTAGACGATGTAGCAACTCTGTATACAACAAGGAAATTATTCAATCAGTTTTGCGTGTTTGGGAAACGGATGTTTGGTATGGCCCCCTAACACAAAGAGGATCCTCTGACCATCACCGATTGAGGTGATTATGGCTAGAGCTACGAGTGCGGAAAGTTAAGTTTTTCATTGTGTTTAGTTAGGTATCATGATTAATTGTGAAATTATTTATTAATGTTATATGGGAATTACTTAAAGCAAATAAACATTTAAAGATATTATTTTATAATCAAAGTATTGCATATTTATCACCGCTTTATAGCGGTGATAAATATATGTTTTTATAACAACAAATATGTCACAATAGAAATCGATATAGTTAAAATAATTTTAAACAGCTCCTGAAGTAAAGAGTTTACTTCAGGAGCTTGACGAAAAAAATTTATAGTTAATTTTATTCAAAGAAACAAATAATATGCAGTATAAAGACAAGTCATCTATCACTACGATACGAGCATTCAATGAACTTTAATTATTATCAAAAAAGCACCCGCCGTGGTTCACAATCTAGGTCAAAGTATTCCAATCCATTAGTTAAGCTATAAAAAGAACAAACATTACTTGATAGTATGAACTAAAAGTGAAAATAACTCTGAAATAAAACCCGTCTGAAATAACTGTGGCTTTACTAAACTGGGTCGCATAAACCATGATATAAATTTAAAATACAAAAGGGTAAGGTATTATTTTTATTATTAATTACGTCATTGTTTATACATGTACCTAATATTTTCTTTTTTATAAACTAAAAGGTTTAAACATTAGAATTCTATGTAAACATATATATTGGAAGTAGTGGTCGCACTAAGATCGAAATTTGACCATTATTTTTCTATCTATGCTAACATAAAGTTTTTTTTTAATATGCGCTAATCTCTGAAACTAACAATCAGATTTGAATATTTTTCAAGAAGGATCAAGTCTTCAGTGGAAAAGGTACGGTATGTATTACCTTGAATGCAGGGAAAGTCTAGTTCTAGATAGCAATGAAGCTCCTCCAGAGATAGGCATTGCCAATTCACTTTTTTTTTTGTTTTGGGTGCCACTAATTACTAAACAAAAAACAGATGTCAAATCTTTTGACAAACAAAAAAAGAAAAGGCATTTGTCTTGGGTGCCGTGGTCCGTGTGGTGACGGATTAAAAATACAGAGTGTCACCACCCCTATTCATCCCTTGGGTGTCGTAAGAGCCGACTAAGGGAGAAAAATACGCAGAACAACAGCATTGCAGAGAGAAGGAAAACTTGACACAAACCCTATACCAACCCGTTTGGCCAGCGTGGTATAGTAGGCCAACACCTCGAGGTCTAAGGGAAGGCCTATGTCCAGCAGTGGACTATTAAAGGCTGTCGATGATGATGGTATTGTCTTCGAAGGTTCCAAGAACGAATGCTTGAACAAAAAATGGCAAATAATTGTATTTCTGCTGTTAAATAAGGGTTCAGAAATACAAAAATATACCTATGTAATCTTATTTGCTCATTTTCAAAACTAAATGCATACATACACTAATGCAATGCCTATATTCCCCAAAGGTCTACCTCTTAGGGGATCTCATAGTCATTGGTTATTCATTGTAATTAAATGACTTCTCAAAGTTGATATGTCTCACCTGTAATGTATGGCAGTCCTTTTGAATCGATGTTCCTTCGACAACAGTTTCGTAAGCAGGCGGTGGGCTAGGCACTTCAACTTGTTCCTGAGAATAAACAAATAATTTAACACTCATTATAACAGAAGATCGAAAGTGTCTTTGATCAATATAATGCATATTATTATAATATGATAGACCTATAACTTTGGGCGACGCGACTGTACATTAATACTTCTAGTTACTGATAACTTTGTCCCTCTTCAAAAGATGGTGCAAGGACAACTAATCCACATGAGTAGATAAACGGAACAGAGATAAAGCTTCATACAACCGCGCGAATCGGTTACACTACTACAAGCACGCGGGCCATGTGTGCGTGACCACTGGCCGCTTGTCACGTACGCGGCGAGACTGGAAAAGACCGGTTTACGCTGGCACAACCAGTGGACAATCTCAGGGTCAGTGCGACGACGACCTCCGTTCTCCATAAGCTCAGGCCTGAGGTGGGTGGCAGGTGAGGCCATCTGTCACCCTAGCAGAAGCAGGCCGGGATGGCGGCGAGCGCGTTGCGAAGCGCGCTCGCTTCCAGGGAGCAGAGGGACACCGATAGGTGGTATCCGAGGGGATTTCCGCACGGAAAAAAAAAAGGGTCAGTGCGACGCATGTTGTTTGTGTTAATTGCAAGTTTAAATATTTTAATGTAAAACCGTGGTATTTTATTATCAATAAAATAGTTAGGTATTATTAGTTGTTTATTGTACTGTGTGTATGAATAATACTAAAAAAAAAAAAAAAAACTTTTTTATAACACTAACTATCCCAAGGAGTACAATATGTTAGTAAATATTTAATTATGACTTTTTCAAGTAAATACCTTTATTTTATTGTGTGATTCTTTTTTTATAAGAAGAGTTTACTACACGGTGTGTTTTTACCTTTTTATTGTTATTGCAAGCTTTTACTAAACATTTGTAGGTATATGGGTGGGCTGTTAGGTATGTATGTTAAGTACAAATATTGAAAGTAAGATTTGAATCACTTCCTGATGTCTGATTGAGCTGAAATTTTGTATACCGTGACTTCAGTGACAATGCAATAATATGATAAATATAACCTCTCCTCAGATTGTCTCCTCACTAGGGAACTCTTTAACGGTTAGTAGCATGAATATTAAACTTTGTATTTAAATTTTTTTTTTTTGCTAAACATGATCTTCACAATAAACTGCTGCTGTAGACAGGATAGTCTAGTGTTTGAATACGATTTCAAAAACTATTTAAAATGAAAACATCATTAATACCTACATCGTTCTTATTATTCTTATTCATGAAACGTTATTTATAGGTTTTTAAAATATATGTGTAACTGAATATTATACAAACTGAATCAGAATTAGAATCGTAATTTTAGCAATTTATTAGAAATTTAAAAAATCGGGATATTGTTTTATGGACCGAGAACCCATCGAGCATTTGATTCTTTGAACGTATAAAAATTGGAAAACAAACAATCGTCGAAATCGTATTTACGACTTTCGGTAAAATAAATTTCATGAATTTTATTAATAGACATAATTCTTAGACTTTTCAAAATCGGAACATCTAAATTTGGCATAAAATATTTTGAAGTATTTGGGTGTTCCCCTTCCTCAAAGAGAGTATGTGATTTATTTAACGAAACGGGGAGATAGGTAGTTTATTTATCATTACAATGATATTATAGGTCGGATGTGCAGAACTTGATTAGCGCTATCGCTGCATTACATTAATTTACCAACATTATATCTACCAAAATGCCAAAACAGGGTATAGTTACTAAAAACTACTCTGTGTACTGTGTAAAGACGGTAAGAAGTTAATAACTCCTGAAAAATACGGAGTGTAAACCTTAAACTGTAAAGAAGGAAAACTTGACACAAACCCTATACCAACCCGTCTGGCCAGCGTGGTATAGTAGGCCAAAACCTCCTTTCTAAGGAGAGGCTTATGTCCAGCAGTGGACTATTAAAGGCTGTTGATGAAGAAACCTTAAACTTAAAGATCGCTGCCTTGAAACAAACTCAAACATTTGACTGCACGGATGGCGTAGTGGTTTAAGCGGTCACCTCGCCGCTTCCTACTGTGTTAAGTGTTGTGGGTCCGATCCCCACATGAGACAATACTTAGTGTGATTCACAAATTATTGTTCTGATTCTGGGTGTTCTTTGTGTCCGTTTAATGTATGTTTGTAGAGTCCCCCGCGACATAAGATATATTCCTAGTGCGGGAGTTGTCTATAAAAAAAAAAAGAAAAAGGACATTAAAATATCCTTGACAATCGTTTAATTAATAGGCAAATAGTTTTTATTATATAAATTACCATACCATATAAATCACCGCTTTACACGCACGCTTTGTATGTGCTTAAAACTAATAAATGATAAAAAAAGTACAGTTTGAAAACTAAAATGAAATCGCGATCTAGAAATTCTTATGTATCGTCATGACTGAAGTCTATCAAATCTTATTTGTAAGTTGACTGTAACAACGAGCACAAATACGTAGAACTGTTTTTCCAATTAGGACTGTTTTGTCTATAATTGGCTTTTTTTTACTGCTTATTGCTCTACGAATAAACATTAACGATTTTTTTCAGAACGATTCTCAAATAACCTCATTTCGTATTGACGTCAACCCCGTTCCTGATTAATGAATAAATTGAAAAGATAAGAATGTATTTTTGGGCTTCGAACTTATTTGTAATTTTTTATGACTTTATGGTATGATGAATTCAAGTAATGAAACATATTGAAATATGTAACATCATTTTAATAATGAATAAATCTAATAACTTCACACATCTCACACACGGCCGTCTGGTCCTAGGCAGAGCCTGTCTAACCATAGTACATGTTCTCGGTTACCAAACCAGACTGCTGACAAACATACTTTTCTATTTCTAAATACACATATATTATGGATAAATAACACCAAGACATGAGCAAATGATCGTGCTCATCGTACAATTATTTGTGCTGGATGGGAATCAAACCGGTGTTAAGCAATTCTTTCGTTGCCTTTCACTGAGAGAGTGAGGTTACCGGAGTCCAAATCCCCCTGCCGCTGACTCGATCGGGAGGGACTCCAAGGGCAGCAATGCACTTGTGACTTTTGAGTTGCAGGTGTCCATGGGCGGCGTAGTAGTTGCTTACCATCAGGTGACCCGTCTGCTCATTGCCCCCTTATACCATAAAAAAAATGTCTATGTCTTAAACCCACGGCAATTGTAATTGATATATCTCTGAAATTACTTAAGTTTAGCTATATAGTTTTATCAGGGCTGGCACGGGTACCCCTAGAGTTTTTTTTTATAAACGGCAACTCCCGCACAATTAATAAATTCTGTGCCACGGGGGACTTTACAAACATACATTAAACGGACACTAAAAACACCCAGACTGAGAACAACAATTTGTGGATCACTCAAAGTTTTGTCCCATGTGGGAATCGAACCCACAACACCCAGCGCTGTGACCGCTTAAACCACCGTGCAGTCAGTTGCCAGCGTCATTAATAATAATAAGTACCTAATGCTAACAATTGCATTCACAGGCTACTCCACCCATGTCCACAATTGCTGCAAGTTCATCGGAACGTTGGATAAAGAAAACGGTATAGTACATTATAATTATTATCACGATTAAGTTTTTTCTACAAGATATTTTACAAATAGCAAAAGTTTCAAAGATACTCTTACATTACAAAAAAAAACTCTGAAAGTAAATATAAGAGTTATTTGCCTTCCCTCAATACATCTGCCGAGAATCTCCGAAAACATTAAAGGTGATTTTAATTCTTATTTGAATTCCTAAATACAAAGTAATTATTAATAGTATCGTATACTAAATCATTTCCAGACCGAGTTAAAAACCTGCGCATATTCACAAGGTGGCTTGATTCGACTATTAAAACCTCACCTAATCGAAGATATACGAAAGTCAAAAATTACGTTTTCAATTCAGGAGCACTACGAGTATAATATTATGTTCAAATATAGATTTGAAAAGCACTTATGCATCATCATCAGATCGGATAAAATTCATTAGTCATATATATTTAGTCACTAGCTGAGACCCGCGGTAAGTTACTCCTTATGTCATCAGCTATCTGCCAGTGAAAGTCCCGTCGAAATCGGTCCAGCCGTTCCAGAGATTACCCGGAACAAACAGACAGACAGACAGACAAAAATTGTAAAAAATGTTATTTTGGCATATGTACCGTGTAAACATACATATGCATTTAGTAAAAAGCGGTTATTTTAATATTACAAACAGACACTTCAATTTTATTTATTTGTATAGATAACACCTTTTGTTATGACCAACGACTGACGGAATCATCATCCTCTCAGCCTTTTTCCCAATCTATGTTGAGGTCGTCTTTCAGTCTACTGTATCAGTCGTTACGTGGAACAACGCCATCAGATCTCACAACCCAAGCATTAGGTGATATCGAACTTCTGTAGAAGACTTATCGGACTTTTTAAGGCTCAAACTATCCGTTACGATTGCCAGAGATAATCGTATGACGACTGAGTGAATACTGATGTTATTAAATCATTGTAATTTTATTATTAAGCCTAATTAAACTATTAAATGTCAAAACGAATAGAAAGAGACCAAAAAAATTAACATGATGTAAGTATAAATAATTAACTTTGTATTGAAATGTGACCACACGCAGTGTACACCCTCCCAAACATAAACAGCATTTTCCAAATGGCTTCATAAACGACGGCGTTCTGTGGTAATAAACAAAAAAAAACCGGCCAGGTATGAGTCGAACTCGTTCCGTACCTACCCAGATTTTACGTAGATTCGCAAAAATTTGTAAGTACTAAAATTTTTCTTAATTTTGTATTTTTTTATTTTTTGGAATTATTCCCTTATTTGTGCTGTAAGACGTTTCTTTTTGCCAAATTTCGTTGATTCTAGGTCAACGGGAACTACCATATAGGTTGTCGACCCAAAACCTATAGGGTACTTCCGGTTGACCTAGAATTGTCAATTTTGGTTAAAAGCAAGGTCTTACAGCACAAGTAATGAGACAATTCTGAAAAATAAAATAAGTTGAAAATTAAGGTAAATTTTGGTGCTT